CGGAGCGGGGGTCCCGGCGGGTCCCCGCTCCGCGGGCTCTGCTGCCACCGTGCGGCGCCCGCAGCAAGGGCGGCTCCAGAGCCCCCCCGAGCAAGAACCAGCACAGCCACAACAGCCCCTGCACGAGCGAGCGGCGCTTGGAAAAATAACTTTAATATCCAGGGCCCAGCGGCCGCTTACTCGGCAGCAGGGCTCCCAGACCGGGCGCGGTGCGGGGCCCCGCACAGCAGCAGCAGGAGCCACCGCTGCTGGCCCGGGGAAGGGGCAGCAACAGCAGCAGGAGCAGCAGTAGCAGGAGCAGCAGCAGCACCAGCAGCACCAGGCCGAGGCCCGCAGTACTGCCCCAACCCAAAGCCAGGAGGCTGCTCGGGAGAGCCCAGGCCCGCAGCGCCTTGCAGGCCACGCAGCCCGTGCGGCCTGGCCTCCGCTCGTGCTGCCTGGCCCCGAGCTCTGCCCTCCGTGGCCAGCAGGGACCTTCTGCAGAGCCCCTTTGCCCTTGCGCCTGTCGCCTCCCCAGCCTCAAGGCGGTGGCCTAGGCGGTGAACCTCAAATTATTCCTTAATGTCACCCTACAAAGAGGGTGGGACGACCTGGGGAAAATAGCTAGAAGGAGTTTCATGGAGTGCAGCCTCTGCCCCGGGCTTTCTTGGCAAGGAAACACAGGACGAGACCCAGAGGCAGCAGCATCATTGTCCAGGGAAACGCCGGTGTGACAGAGCAGAAGGCAGGAGGCCTTTCCCGGTCACCAGGATGTGGCACCGGCAAGGCAGGGACAGGCGAGTTAAGGTGCATCGTGTCATGCAGTCAGAGCAGTAAACTGGAGACACGGTTAAAATTGCTGGAAGAAAGCAACTAATCGTAGCAATTTTGGCCACAGGGCTGGGCTTTTTACACCTGCTGCAGACACCAAGCTGCGAATAGAAGGATATTTAGGAAATAGCCCTGAAAAATGTACTTTGATTCTTTTGCTTTATGGGATAACCAGGACAGTGTAAACAGCAAAATAAGGACCTTGTTGCTTCAGTAACTTTGAGCAAGTCTCACAGACTAATTGCTCTCCAGAGTTTTCAATTAGCCTTTATAGCTCACTGTTTCTGCAAATTATTTCCACCTTAATTGTGCAAATACAGCTTGCTGTTTTGCTCACTTTCTGCCCCCATCGGGAGGCATCTACACAGCTCAAGCAAACTTGGCTCTGCCAGCTAAGTGTTTTCCAAAAGAACTTTTGAACACCCCCAGTCCCCAAAAGGCTAGCCCATATTCACAGATCCTTCTCCGGGAGAGGATGATTTTTCTGGTCTGGCATCCATTGCCAGCAATGGATCCAGGCAGATGGGTCAAATCAGCGTGGAAGCAACCTGGGAAGTGTTGTAATACTGGAAGCACGAGTAAACGTCCCTGCGCCACCAGGAAAGCCGGCTTCAGCTCCCTGCAGCATCTCCTCTGGACCCCACGGAGCGCCGCCAGCTCAACACGGCTTGGGAATTCAGTACGGAATGCAGCTGAGGGCGCCTGTGCCAGGGTGCTCAGAAGGTGCTCTCGAGCAGGCAGTGGCACCCGCAGCCCGTGGGGCACACCTCCTGCGTGCGGAACCACTCCATCATGTGGCTGGTGTGCCCGCCGTGGCCGCACGTCAGGCAGAAGTTGGAGGAGCCGCGCACGGCCACGTGGCAGATGGCGCACTGGAAGGTGAAGCCCTTGCAGACGGCGCACTGGGTGCCCCGCACCTCGCTGCGGCAGTGGCTGCAGTACACCCCGAACTCTGGAGCGAGGAGGAAACGGAGAGCACGAGAGTCAGCCGGGCACCGTTACACACACAACCACCCCCTGCTCAAGCCTCCCTCAGGCAGGCACAGACACCCCGAACCCACTGCCTGAGAGACCTTCCCATCACAAACCCAACAGGGACAGGTTGACGCGGGGGGCCAGTACGTTTTACAGGTCCCATATTGATCTCTGAAGAGGAGCAAAGACCTATCACCAGTCACCATTAACATGGACAACCAGTGTGCTGGGCACAGGGTGGGCCATCGATTCCCCTGACGGCTAAATCGGTCGTCACCTGGCAACATGTCTCAGATTCCTAGCCTGGGACATACGGACACGTGCCATGGAGATGAAGGCTCCCAGCTGCCTTGCACATCTCTGTGGCGCAGCTAGGAACACAAACAGACTTGGTTTGAGTGAGTTTGGTGAGTTGGAGCACACTCAGCGTGGATGTTATTGGTGTTGTGACCTCTGGCTGCAGAAGAGCAGAGGCAATGGTGGAAGTCACCAGTTTTTAATCAAGAAGAAGTCCCACATGACAAGGTGAGACAGTATAACAAGAGCTCAACAAGCAACCACTGCTCCTCCAGCCTCCTTCACTCGCTTCTCTCTTTCCAGGCTAAGTACATCTCTTCCCAGGGGCCTGGTAAGGAGACTTTTTAGCAACTGCTCTTCAGTGGCAGTTCTGGGCAAGCTACATTGCTGACAGTAATCTGGAAGAACATTATATTGACCATGTCCTGTCTAGCTCAGCCAAAGCTAGAGATATTGCAGTTTTACACGTGCGCTATAAGAACATCTCAAACCAGACCTAGAGACTAGGGTAGTGCATCCCCATGTTCCTGTTTAGGGGGAATAAGGTCTAGCCACCGGCATAATTAGCTGAACATCTCTAGATTAGCACGTGTAACTCAGCTGCAAAAGCACTGATCCAACAGCTGCAAATCTCATCTCCACTCTGAGCTGCCAAAGGTAGCAACAGTCTGCTGGCTGAGCTGCTGCTAGGCAGAATAATACATAATTTTCATCACGATGATGGCCTGTTAGCTCCCAGGCCCTCGAGGCATCATCCCGACTCTGCCCGGGCAGCCGAAGCGAGTGGAAACTCACCGATTCCTTTGTGGGGATCAGGAGGAGAAGAGACAAACTTGAGAACCTCGGCTCGCTTCTCCCGCAGGCCCCAGCGATAAAGGATTTCTCCATAGCACTTCTTGAAGTCATCAAACTGCTGAGTGTTGGCAGGGTCCAGGAGCCTGGGGGAACAACCTGCATTGGCATTTGCTCAACTTACTCGCGGAGACTCTGGCTGCAACGCTCCTCCCAAAGACAGCCACGCAGTCAGCTCGATCACTAGAAGAGCAAAACGTTACTTCCCGTGTGTTGTTCAAATACTACGGACACACAGACGGGTCTGCCTTTCGCCACTTCTGCGCTCAAGGTGGGCAGACCTTCCTCTGCGAGGTTGTGGGGGGCAGTCTCACCACAGCCATCCTACAGATCTATCACAGGCAGTCCCAGCAGAACTGATCTGTAGTATAAAACTGCTCCAATTTACTTACAGAACAAAACATTTCTGGAGTAGGCTTGTTATCTCCCTCCTGCTCATTTTCACATCAAAGAGGACTGATTATGGACTTCCACTGAACTTGGGCATGCAGTCACACACCCCTAGACATCCCCTGCTGACCTCCGTCAGCTACCTTTTGTTTTTCTCATGTTGATCCTTCTCACGCTCCCGATGATCAGGATACAGCAGATTTCCATAGCGGAAGTCGTCTGGAGAAGACTCGCACCACAGAGTGGAGGCCTGCTCCATGTCTTTGTTTGCTGCAGGCATCAAAAAATGATGAGCACACCACAAAGCACAACACTCACGAGCACAGCCTCGTCAGAAGCAGGGGGAAGGAGATGTCAAAGTCAAACATAGGAACACACTCTGCTTTTCTAAGGCATCCTTCTACCTCCTTCTGCACTCCTGCAAACACTGTTCCATCTCAGAAAACTAAGACCCAACCTCTCTACTTGCCAGTGCTTCTCTTGGGCTCCTGGTGACAACACGGTAACGGCGTTCATCACTCTAATATGGAGGAATCCTTTTGTCGTCTACTTCAGTAAAATTCATGCAATTCCATGGAGTTTGCTTGGAAAGCTTATCCCTGCCTGGGATAAGCTCTTCCCCACTCGGGGAGGATTTTCATCACCAAGGATGCTGTTATGAGCCTGTTTTTTTACACAAAAGGGCCCTGGTCTGTAAGGCATTGCCCTGGGGGCAGGGAGAAGACTGCTATTAACTGCTACAGCATAACATTAGCTCCATTAACCTCTACTCTGCACTCTTCCTCATGTCACAGATGCTTTGATACTTCACTGAAAAGCTGCAGATTTGCTGCCAGCAGGCTGATGCTGCCCTAGGCTATGCATATCACTAGGAATCAGTAAGCAGTTTTAGTGCGCTCTGTGACCCAGGCCCCCTTAAGAGTAAGTTGTCTTTGATACAATGACAACTCAGAAAAAAAATGCCCTTAGAGCCACAGGTATCCATGCCACCAACAACTCAACTGCTGCTTTTTCAGATCCAGCAAAAGGAGAAGGCACAGAGATTTTTTTTCCCCCTTTAGCCTTGTGCAACAGGAGAAGGAATGGCCCTCTAGCACCATCCTACCTGTTGAAAACTATGGAATCATGGCACAGAGTTAACAGCCTCAAACTGTATAAGAACTACAGAGAAAGAGCTTATGTGGCCAGGCAGCAATGAGGTAGTCACCTTGAGTGCGAGCTAAGGCCAGGCTGGAGGCAGAATGGAAAAGGTGGCAGTAGAAACTCCTGGCTCTGGGTCGCTCTGGTTCCCAAGGGCCAGCTCAGCACGTCTAGAGAGTCTCTAGCAGTTCCTCCAAAGCTCGGTCTGACAGAACATGCTACGGAAGTCACGAGGGGCAGGAACATGGGACTATGGACATTGTGCCGTGCTCATTTCTGGCCAAATGATCACACTAGGTACCCCATATGGCCAGATGCCAAAAGCACCTGCAGTCACCGTCAGTACTAATTCCCCTCCTACTCCACAGGAGCCATCTAAGACCTAGGTCAGAAGGGAGGCAGATTCCTCCATCTATCACCCCGGTCTCTGTACCTATGCTCCAGCCTCCAGTGCCAAGTCCAGGATCTGACATGCTGGAACAGGAGCCAGAGGAAGTAAAGCTGGGCTGTTGAGGTGGAAAGAAGAGGAAATAATGTCATCTATGTGACAGATGTTCCAAGATTTAAAAGGCAAACGGCAAAAAAAAGCTGTCATACATAGCGGCTGTGGGAGGCCAGGTTGGAGGCACGCTGAGGGAAGGGGCCATAGGAGTTTGGGCATCCTTGTAGCCTGGATTGGGCTTCAAACACACTGCAGAGCATAGCAAGGGTCTGCACATCATGGAGCTGTGAGTAATGGGCCAGCCTGGGAAAGGAAAAAGAGAGAGTATGAGAATGAGCAGTGTTCACTGGAAAAAGCATTAAGAATCCAGTGCAACTAATTTCAAGCCTGTTGCATAAAGCACTTTTTTGATTCCCACTGCATGTACACTCTGCAGGACTGGGTTGTCTTTGCAGTCTCACTTCTGAGAGGCCAAATCTGCATTCTGGTAACACTCATGATCTAACACGACCTCTTTTTTTTTTTTCCCCTCTTATTTCCTCTTATTTCTCTGCAATAGTGGTTGGCCTGATTATCTCAGGTTTATGGTCCTTCAAGAACAAGGACCATAAAAACATTTTTAATCGGATGTAAATCTGGAGCCATTCTACTCACTTGCAGAAATAGCATCTTTTTGAGAAGACCCTCAACACACAAGCGTCCTGCATTGAGATCACACTGCTACGAAGAGTAGGAACTGTGTTCCTCTCCCACCTCTCCCTCAGAGCAGGAAAGAGCCATGACAAACAATCATATGTAACACGTCACACAAATTCTGTGCCTCTGAACAGAATCTATCAACAGATAATACCAGTTTCTGGTTACCCACTTCCTGAGGAGGTTCACCATTCACAGGAGGACGCTTCTGCCTAACACCCATCCGAAGAGAAGAGTGGAATGAGTTCTCAGTCTGCTATGTGGCAGCAGCAAATCTGATCTGATGGTGAACCAAGCAGCTGAACCCAAACATTCATTTAGGAGGTGCTGAGTGAAAAAACGTAACTTTCATTTCTAAATGAGGCCCTGTGGACGTGCTGCAAAGCAGAGCTCCAGCTCTGCTCATGTAAGTTCAACCTTAGCTGAGGCCAACTGCTGCCTCCTATGTGCCATAAATTGCACTTGCAGCTTCCCTGACTTGAAGCTTCCCTCCTCTCAGGCTTGACAGAATACAAACTGTGTAGGGGTCAAAGTCTGAAATGATGCCCTGCAATGCACACAATTATGAAGGCCCTGCTTCAGAGAACATTCCCCCATTCCCTCCCTGGCTTTCAGAGACCTACAAGGATTCCAGTAATTGACGTCCAAATGGATGTTGTGCCCATGGTATCTCCAAATCTGGGTCAGACTTCGGTCCAAGACAGAGATCAGTTGCTACCATGGCTAGTGACCAAACCTGGTAAACAGGAAAGAAAAGTGTCAAACCTACAATTAGAAAAGGAAGCCGACGGTCTTCCCGAGTTTCGGTGTGCATAAATTTACTCGTAGGTAGATAATAATGGAGCTTTTCAATAACAGGGAGCATTTGCAGCCTCTACGTGGAGGACAACATATACAACAACATTAACCAAAAAGAAACGCTCGCTCTGTCACTTGCCTTAAGGTTGGGTTAAGCTGACTTTTAGTGTAACAGACTATTAAGGCATTCTATATTCACAAACCTCAGAAAGGTTTAAATTTGATAGAGTTCTTGGGTTCAGAGATGTCTGGTGGCAGAAAGTTTACTGATGAATCCTTACTTGCCTAAAAAACATGTTTTCATTCACTGCGTTAGCGGACATTTCTGTTCTCCCAGCACAGCTCAGTGTAGACATGAGTAGTTTCCCATTTCTACTGCAACAGTTCAACTGTTTCATACACCAAGTTCCTTCTTGGGTTATCTCCCTCTCCCCCGAAAGCAGTTCCTTCTCTTCAGTCTCTGCACCACTGATTGTGTGTGACCACATTAAATCTAAAACTACTTTTTCTGCTGTGCTTTATTAAGATGGAGTGATTAGTACATGCTATCCCAGGAAGAACAAAGCTCCTGGTTTGGCATGAGAAAAGAACAAGAAAAGGAGCATGGTGCTGGAAAGAATTGGAGGTGACAATTAGAGCTGATAACACAGAAAAGCAGAGAAAAAGGAAGCACTCCAAGTATGAACAACAGCAGTGAGGGACAGGAATCTCCCAGCTGCTCACTGAAGTGGGGAAAAAGCAGAGAAACTGAAACAAGGACAGGCCTGAGCACAAGAGAGCACAGAAAATGGTAAAGATGCCCCTTCCTATGCTGTTATAGAGGAAGAGTAAGTCTGGGTTGGCTCCACGTTGGCTAGGAACAAGGCAAGCTGCAATACAGGCCAGACAGGATAGACTTATGTGAGGCAGCAAAAACAAGGCATGGAGTTATCACAGAAAATCTTGCTGGGATATTCCAGTAATTAGTTTTCCCTTGACTAATCACTGGATCTTTTAATATTTTGAGCAAGTCAGGAAACACACACACTGCTGTGCACTAAGAGTGGCCTCACTAGGTCTCGTGCCTAAATGTCTTTTTTAAATTCAATCTACCGTAGGGAAAAGTTTGCCTATAGGACAGGGAAAGCCTGAAGTAGCTAACAGAAGAAACTACATATCTTAAAATCACTACCCAAGCTTTAGTCCAACATGAGGCAAACCAGAATCAAAAAAAAGAAAGAAAAAAAAAAGCACAAATAGACAATAGATCTAGCAGAGCCCAACACGCGGTCAGTATTTTGCAATAAGACAACAGTTTAAGCCTATTTCTGCTTGGATCAGGTAAGTCTATGCCTGCTCCCTGCCCAGATCTAGGGAGAGCTCAATGCTCAGGAGGGCTCCTCTAGCAGCACTAGCTCCCTCCTATCTCCTGCAGGCAGCCCTGAGTGCTGTCAAATGCTCAGCACGCGGCGATGGACTGGTCCTCTGGAAAACAATGGGCCACAGCAGCCGTTTTTCTCACAATATGAGCTGAAGGTAATTGCCTGGCCCATTTCTGCAGCTGGATGCCTCGGCTCTAAGCTCTCCTGAGGGGAAACTTGCTGCAGTTGGCACCCACTGCCAGCTCAGATGAACGCTGAGCTAATTACGGCAGGAACGATTACATAAGGAAGCCAAAATCACCGATCAAAATGCTGACAGCAGCTAGGCAATTTGTATACAGTTACTTCACTCGCTGACTCAAAAGCAAGCTGCCTTCTTAGCCTTGCTTGCAGAAATTCCCTGAAAAAAAAAATGACTCAATTTGGCAAAGGGCATGAAACAATCCACTGGCAGTCCTGGCAAGAGATCTCTTGATGCCAAGAGTCGATGAGGTGGAGAACACCTCCTCTGCAGCTGATCCCCCAGCCTTGGTTTATCAGCCATTTAAGGGATTCCCGGGAATAGCTGGTGCACTCGGCTGGCTTGGAAATGTCTCTGGCATCGAGGTGACAGTGTAAGGCATTTGAGGGTAATCCAGCATGCTGGAAAGCTCCAGTTCAACACGTTACCTGTACGAGGTCCCTCCGTCCGACTGCCAGGGCTGAGGCCGCATTCTTCTGGCAAGTCTCCTGGATGTTATTCACATTCAGTCTGAAAAGAAGGGAGATAGCTCAGCTTTGGACTGTTACCTATGAAGAGAGGAGGATGAAAGGGATGTGGCAACAGCTAATAACCCAGAAGTGCCTGATCAATATGAGCCTGAAAGATGATCAGGATCCTATCCCTCCCTCCCCTGTAATTGAGGGATCATGCCCCTGCACTCTGACAAATCCCACTATTCGGTGGCAACTTATTGCGTTAGCTCCAGCTCCAAACTGGCTGGGATTGATCCCAGGGGGATCCTGGCTCCTAGAAGTTGGTGCCATTGGTCACAAGACATAGTTCTCAGCAGCCTGATCTCTGCTTGACCTAGAAGAGCGCTGTTCTCTAGGAAGCAGGCCAGTATTCCTCCCGGAGACATCCAGAGAAGAAAATTCCACAAATCTTTTTGAAGGACTTTCTTTCTAATAATATAGGAAGAGC